TGCGACGTTCGCGGCGATATGTAACGTGTAGCGCAATTGTCGTTTTTGCGCGCTGGGGCACCGGGTGCGTAAATGTGGGGGTGGGGGAGTTAAACATTTTGGGGTTTTTTTCACTTTTTTTATATGTGACTTTTATTTAATTTAACTTTTTTATATGTTACTTTTATTTTTATTTTATTTTTTTGCACTTATTGTTATTGCTATTATATAGGGGGATAACAATCCCCCTATATAATAGCAAAGGCACACTGACAGGTCCTCTTTATGGAGACATTAGGGGTCTCTAGGACCCCTAATGTCACCTGTGGACCCCAAAAGAAGCTGATGATGCAGAGATCAGGGTTAATGCTGCAGTGCCGTCCGTCAGTTTTTTTACAACGGGCGGACGGCAAGTGGTTAAGCAATCTTAAAGTGGAACTTTACCCAGATCTTCAAAATAACAACAAACACACCTTTAGAAATGTTTAGTAATTACAATCTACAAACAGATACTTCTAGATAATTGCCGGCTTTGTATTCTCTGTATACCTTATTTCTTTTTTCTTCCCCAGTCTTCTTACAGTTCGATTATGTCGATTAGTTGTTGCAGCCCTAGATTACAGATAAGATTTCCCAGCAATGCTCTGCTGATGTAACTTTTCCAGGATGCAACTCTTAGACACGATTACATCATTTGTGCCAAAATGGACCAGGAAGTGTAGAAAAGAAATTCTAAGTAAAATAAAAATATGTTTGTTTAGCTAATGAATGTAAAATCTGCATATCAGCATGCAGATGTTTAGTCAAAGGGGGTAAAGGTCCAATTTAAGAGGTGAACAGATGAGAGTATTGATTTGCATGAACCAAAATATGACTTATTTCCCAGAAGTGAATATCGGCACCTTTTGTCAGTTTCTACCAGGTAACATCTGAAGGTTTTCCCCTAGCTACCTTTCATTCATTCCCAGACTGTCCTGTGCCTGTCTGCTCTTTATCGACAAAAGGATAATGTTGTCAGACACAATTTTCATTATAAAGAGGAAGCAGACATATGCCTGCACTGTAGGTAAGGCCTTCTCTCCAGCAAGGAGAATAGTGAGCAACACAATAAAGACATGATCAACTCTTACTCCAGATCACATGAGACTAGCACAGCTACATTTCTGACAATGTAGAAATACAGCTATGAGGCTCAAAGCAATGTATTGCCTAGACACATCAAGTGGACTGACATTTCTCACTAGTAATTCAAGACAAACGGTATATTTCTCAGGATACTGTTTAGGTACAATGAACATTTTTAGATGTACCCTGTAAGATAGCAAATCTGTACTTTTTGATTTTAGCTTCACTTTAAAATGTACCTGTGCCTATACTATGGACATAATCCCCCCCTTAACTTAATCCCATGAAGCCTGAGACTAACTAGAACATGACCCTAACCCCTGAGAACTGTAGAAATACACTGCCTGTCCAAAAAAAAGGCCACACACTCCAATATATTGTTGGTCCGCCTTTAGCTTTGATTATGGCACACATTCGCTATGGCATCATTTTCATAGGTTTATGCACAACATTTACTTCCACCCAGAGCTGCAATGATTTTTAACTAAGATATTGTAGTGATGCTGAGAGGTTGGACCACAGCATAAAATCTGCTCCAGCACATCCCACAGATTCTCAATGGGGTTAAGGTCTGGACTCTGTGCTGGCCAATCCATGTGTGAAAATTTAGTCTCATGCTCCCTGAACCACTCTTTCACAATTTCAGCCTGATGAATCCTGGCATTGTCATCTTGGAATATACCCAATGTGCCATCAGGGAAGAAAAAATCTATTGATGGTAAAACCTGGTCATTCAGTATGTTCAGGAAGGCAATTGACCTCGTTTTATGGGCACATGATGATGCTGAACCTAGACCTATTTTCAGCGGTGTATTTAACTTTGGTGCTGCCCTAGGCAAGGCAGCTACTTTTTTCCCCCCCGGTCTGACCCTGCGCTTCTCCGACAGCCCCCCCCCCCCGGGCTTACAGACTCACTGCAAAACAATGCCGCCCGCCGTCTGCACACGCCGTCCACTCCAGGCCGACGTCCGCGTCATCGCATCCAGGTCAGTAACCCTCGCGGTGCCGCCCTCAGCGAATCTGCCGCTCCAGGCAAACGCCTTGTTTACCTCGCGGCAGATACGCCCCTGCCTATTATACGGTGGAAGGCTCTGACCTATTTGCTTAGCTAAATCCAAGTGGCAACTTTTATTTGGATAGGCAGTGCACCTACAATGGTGCCTCTAGCTGTTTTTTCAATTGTGGATAGAATGTGAACAGATTAGGACCTCCGTCAAATTGTGTTGCTGTCCTTTACACTACTGAGGGAGATTTAAAGTCACTATTGGCCTTGTTGACTGTTGTTACTGTTACAGAAGGTAATAGGAGATCCAAAAATATAGTTGTCATCAGAAGAGGGGATTTCCCCCTCCCTTTTGTGAGGTATTCATTCAAAGAAGGTAAACAGGTGAAGTGAATTTTACCTCTCTTACACTCTCTCCAAAACAAAATGTTTTGACCAGAGATACATTAAGGAGGTGATTTATAGGCCATTCGCTTAGCCAACAACTATGCAAACGAGATTCAGAGTACATTATGGCCACTAGATAGAGGCGAGGAGCATAGTAAGTTCCGTTCTCCTTGTAGCCATAAAGTGTTGTGAATTTAAACAGTTTATAAAGCACCCCTTAAACTATCAATCCAATAATTGCCTTGCGCATGGAAAATATCACTACCAGTTTCAAAGTGCCAAAATGTTGATACCTAAAATTCCTGATTTGTGTCAAGACTGTGTAAGTTGTAATATTCTGACCCAAACAATGACAAATACTGAGCTAAGACATTCTCTGTAAAGGATATGAAAGTTAGAGACCTGTAGGTTGCTTCAAGTATTCGATCAAAAAGCCTGGAGACATATTTAGTCTATTATATAAACACCAGACAGGAAATTAGACTTTCCTGTTCTCAGATCTAAGATCTAAACTTTCAGAATTTACACTCCAAACAAGGGGCCTATACAGCTGCTGACCAACCTCTTTCCTGATCACAGTAATTAAATATTCAGCAACTATATTTTAGTGCGAAAGGGAGATATGAAATACTGCAGAATGGAAAACGCCTTGCGTAACAGGATGCACATTTAGAAAGAAGTTGGTGATAATATCCCTTGTCCTCTGACGTCAGTCCTTAAAAACAGCCGGTATAAAAAAAAACATTGCCAGACTATACTGGTTATCAGGTCACATTATACATTCAGTATCTGTAGTTAAAATCCAGACGTATTTATTAAACATATACAAGGGACGACGATAAATGAATATTTAATATGCATTTTTTTTTAATAAATGTTTTCACCTAAGATACATACAACTTTCACCCAGGATTCACACATTTCCAACAAAAAACAATTAGAAAAATATGTGAAAGTTGTGTGAATCTTGGAAGAAAACATTTATAATTAAAGCCTTTAGTTTGGCCCAGGCATGTCATTCTTCTATTTTATGGGACTCTTGTGGCCTTCTTGCGCCTTCTCTGCAGCCCTCAATAGTTTTAAAGTATATTTCTAGGCAAAACCTTTTTTTTGGATGAAGTGGGGGATAAAGAGTAAGACCTTCTGTCAAGCTTTGATTCACTCTTCCATTTGTACTTGTGACCATTGTCACCCAGAAAAAAGGGACGTGCAAAATGTGTTCTCCCCTGAACAAGAGAAAAGATGAAATCTTCCAATGGGGAGGGACAACTTTTTAAGCGGGGACTTACGACTCACTCACTTTAGTAGATTTCCCCTAACTTCCTGTTCCATCTTTGTGACAGGAAAATTTCCCCAATGGTACACAGACAGCATAAAATAAACTGGCAGCGTTTTAACCCTTCCTACTTTATCTTAATCGGGAAAAAAAAGAAGCTCAGGCTATATCTACAGCATTGTAGATCTCTATGAAAAGGTACTATTTAACTTCCAAAATGTTATTCTGCACTAAAACCGGTATCTTATTTCTCAATAATCTGGTCTGCTTTTATAAAAAGCCAATATAAAGGAAACATAATGGAGAGATCAAAAAATATTTTGGGTTTAATGAATGGAAGTTGTCCTTCTTTCTCATCTCAGAAAGGTGGGAGGTGTGAGTTACCTCTGTAAACTACACCCATATTAAGAACATGAGAAAATGAGTGTGTGTTCTGTAGTCCAAGTTGGGAGTAAACAGCCTAGGAGGACAATGCTTCTGCTGCACAAATACAGTACAGCAAGTGTACAGAAAAGGCGTAACTGCTAGGAGCACCAAGTGCAAATAAAGGAGAAAGAGCCTGAAAAAAAGGGTAAGCTGCAATATCTTATATTTTTGTTCTTGGGTTTCGATACACTTTAATAAGGTTTTGGTTGGCACAACACTTGTCTCTTCTGAGACTTTCTGAATTCATGAGGTTCTTACAGGATGTGATGCCCATTTAGCATTGTTTGTTTCTGATTGCCATCTGAGTAATCAAAAGCCATTATACTCATCATAACCAAGAACACACCCCTTTCTTTCATAGACTCCCTTGTGCATTTTGTAAATCACCAATAGAAAAGGAAAACTCAAGGAGCACAGTTTTAGCATCAGATATTTACATGTAAAAAATCCATGCATAGACCTGAATCGCTGACATAGGCAAACACTATTTTTTTTAAATTTAAAACCAATGTGACAACAAGTCAACACTATTACAAATATTGTAATAGTTCTATAGAATATGGCCACCCCCTACCCTTGTTCTATAAGTTAGCAAGGACTCTGGGAGATGCACTATGATACTCCCATGAGAGATTTAAACAATGGGGATATTATAATTCAGCAATGTCTGCTGTGTGGATAAAAGCTATTTACCCGAGGGTAATCAGAAAATTTTAAATAAACAGGCTAGACAAAGAGGAAGTCATGGGCGATCAGAGAAGTAAAAAGCAAATAAACAACTGTCCATTTTAAATGTGTACATACCTAGTTGGAAGTGGTCAATTTTCATAGTGCTGTTTGTTAAAGTACCAGAAATGGTGATAATTGAGATTTTTCGTACGGCCATTTCACAAACTGTCTCAAGGTACTCATCTCGCTGTTGTGAATACATGTTGTTGTCTTCTTTTGGTGTAGTAATGAGCTATATTGTAAAATACAAATATTGTGTGAGCATACATAGCAATATTTTATATACTGTAAGATGCGTACTGATAACACATTTGATTTCAGTTAGTCAAGCTGAGCAAAGAAACCTTTAAGTTGAACGACATAAATAACACCCCCCAAATGAAAAAAATCCTGCTTGCATCCTAGGGTTGCCACCTTTTCTTCAAGCGAAACCCGAACACTCTAGCGACACGTGGACATATTTTTTTAGGAGAATGAGTTGTGGCTTATTCATATGTAAAAGGAACCACCCATTAATATGTAAATATCACAGTTGAGACTATTTTTAGTGGGGGGCCAGTAGCCCCTATCTTAATTTTGGTTGCCCCTGTCTACTTGACATCTTGTGTCCGGGTTCCTGGTGCCATGAAACCCGGACACAGCATTCAAAACCCGAACTGTCCGGGTGAATCCTGGACAGGTGGCAACCCTATTGCATCCTCAAATTCTAAACCTATAGTTGACCACGAGGAAGGTGTAGCCCCTTTATCCTAAGTGTAGTGGCACTTTAGTGTTGCTGGAACTGTAATCAGTCTGACATATTTGTAGTTTGTGCTCATTTGGTCATTCCTAGGTGTTCTGGTATTGTTTGCATCTACCTGTTGTGGGGTGTAACCCTGCCACAGAGCAGAGCAGCTAATGGGAGAACAATAGGGGTGTTTCTGCCTCAGCAGCCAATCACTAAGGGTTTCATTGCCAGTGGTGCATGCTGCGAAGTGCTTAAATACTCAGGAATTGTCATGTGCTCAGGGCAGTCTGCCCCTGAGTCTAGCCTGGGGGTAGGATGTACACAGTTGGAGAAGCTAACTAGGCCTGAAGTCTGCAGAGGCCAGATGTGGACCCAGGTAGGGTCTGGAACTGTCTGGGATGGAAAACCAGTAGAGCCCTTTATCTGCTGGAGGTGCCAGGAAGGCTTGGGTGGCATGGACTTCAAGAACAAGTCTGGTGTCTCTCCCAGGGAAGATCTCAAGGAAGTCTCATATTCAGCTGTTGCTCTATTGCACAGTGTCTTCTGTCTCAACTAAAATATTCCTGCACTGTGGAAGCTGGAAGGGATTGGTGAGACTGGAGTCTATTTTTGTCCATGGATCTCTGTAGCCCTTTACCCGCTCTCCCAGTTTTGGCTGTTCTACAATACAGCATTGAAAAAAGCTAGGGATCCACCCCTGAGAGTAAAATGTCTGCCCTCTCAGTCTCTGGATTTCCTCCCAACATGCCTTTGGGGGTCAGGGGGGCGCTACAAATGTATAAAAACCCATATAAAGTGTGACCCAATTTGCTCCAACAGGAAGAAAATTAATTTTTAACCCCCAGAGGCAATCAGATAGCATACCGGATTAATATTATATGTTATTTCTTATATTTTAAGCATTTAGATATGCTGTATTTTATTTTTATTGAATACTCCACTGAGTCAGAAGTAACGAGTTGCTGTGGTAGACTTTTTCACAATATGAGAATCCTTACAGTAAAAAGTCCTTCCGTATGAGAATGTTAAACCTCCTTTTTCCTAGTTCCAAAGAGTGTTCTGTTTCTTTTGTAGTGACAACTTTCCACTGAATGCATTATCTATCAGGGTTATTCACAAAAGGGTGAAGAGTTTGGAGAAGGCAGGAGAAGTGAACAATCTAGGACAACATAGCTGATTTTGAAAAATTCTCCAATTCAGCTCACTTTACAGCTCAGCTATTTTGGCCTAGATTGTTCACTTCTTTTGTCTTCTCCAAACTCTTCACCCTCTTGTGAATAACCCTGTATGTGTTAAATAATGTGATCATTACCCCTTAAATCACCTCTTCTTGAGGGTGAATACATTTAGTTTATGTAATCTTTCCTCAGTTGAGGTGACCCAGGTCCTTTATCTATTTAGTCACCCCTTTCTGCACCCCTTTCCAACATCTTTTTTTCGAGCTGTTGCTCAAAACTAAACAACGTATGTAGAGAAGAACTGTGTCCCAACCTTTTTTGCCCATAGTTGTTTTTAGGGTCACAGGAGGACATTTACTAATGTCCTCCTGTGACCCAAAAATCAGCATATAGTGCAGAGCTGTAATCGGCTGGGAAAGATCCCAATAATATTGTCTAGATCCACCCCACTGCCTGATTGACAGCTGCCTTTCCAGAGGCAGAATGAGCTGTGTCCGCCCCCTCCACCATCCGTCCCTCTAGTCAGCGCTGGAGGAACAGAGAGGGGAGAAACATGGTTGCTAAGAGCTGGACAGGAAGGTGTGTAAAGGCCATACACATCTCCTCGTCCAGCTCTTAGCAACCTGGGACGCTGTGCCCGGCATTCTGCCAAGCTCCTGGCAACCAGTGACATCACTGGTTGTGAGATACGTGGAGGGCTGGCCAGAGCCGGGACTAGAACTGGGTGAGGAGACGATGCAGAGGTCAAACCCCAGGATCACCACCCCCCCCCCGGTTAGTGTGCACTACCAACACTTCCCTCACCCTCCCAGACACTGCCTCAGGGGGCAAAAAGACTAGGGACACACTTGAGTAATGTTCTTTTACATAGTTACTTCAGCTTATTTAAACCAACCACAGGTTCACGTTAACTTTGTTTACCAGATCTCTGGCCAGTGACAGTCACTAGTTTTGTATGGAGTTCTTCCATAGGATTCTGTGATAGGCTGGTGCAAGCTGGAGGGCCTAACACAGCTAAACCTGTTCTCTAGGATGAGCATGTGGTCCCCACAGTCTTCTCCATGTACGATAAGCCTATTTCTCTCAACTTTAGACATATTTATCCAGCTTAACTTGATAAATTCTCAAAATTTCTGAGCTATGTATCATCTGTCCAAATATTAATCCACTCATGAATCGCTATGCCTTTTTGTTTACATATGCTTTTGCAGGTAAATGGAAACTAATTGCATACACGGGCAGTGTAATGTACATTTTGGTGAACTTGACATATAATAGGCACCACGTGACTAGTGTCAAATCTAAGCCATACGTTTATGTAAAATGCACTGTTTATAGTTTGACCTTTATATTACTATTCCCTGAAACCAACCAGTTATTTTATAGCATAACATTCCATTACAAAGTGTTAATTTGACAAAGCGTAGTTCATAGCAAAGGCAGACATCTTGTTAAGTTTCAGCAATCCTCTAGGAACTCATAAAAGTCCTTCTATTAAATTTACATATACCCTAAAGTGTACGTTAAGGCAAAACATTTTTTTTAGTATTAGAAGGATTAGAGTGGGGAAAAGGTAGACCCTTTGTTCAGTCTTTATTGCTGTTTGTGGCTCTGTTGAGTCAGAGCTTCACCCTTTCTTTTCATCCTGGTGACCACTCTCACTGAGCGAGAAAATGAAGGGAAATCCAAAATGTTGGACTTGCCACAACAGTAAGAAATGAGGGAAAATCTTTCAATTAGGACAAATGTTTGAGGACAACTGACTATGTAAAGAATTTATCATACTTTGTGCATATTTACAGTTATCTCCTGTTGTGTCTGCAGGGCGGGATGTGATGGCAAGTCTCTCAAGTGGGACACAGACAGCAAAAACCTTTCACTATGTACACATACTTTAGGGAAGTATGGAGCAAATTAACTCAGCTAGAGGGTGCTGTGTTGTACAATCGAACACCTTTAGGCTCCACACACCTTTACTTCACACACCTTTACTTCACACATAGCAGTTTGAAATTCAGCGCAGTTTTCAGCGCTTTCGTCTGCATGGCACAAAAACAAGCAAAGTTAACCTATGCACAATTTACGCACGTTTTGCGGCTACTACTATAGCTGGGTATCCAAGTGTATCCCCTGCACTCCTTGCAGCGACTAGGACCCAAGATAAACAATGGTGCTCGCAGTGATGATTAAGGATGTAGCGCCATGCAGATTCAAAAGAATGAAAATCACCAGCACTCAAAGGATAATCTTAAATCCTCATGTTTATGTATTGAAGAAATGTATCACATGCGTCAAATAGCCACCATTTCGGGGCCACGCAAGGTCCCTTCATCAGGGCTACAAAGTGACCATATGACGTCACTATATTGCCCTGATGGAGGGACCCTGTGACATTTTCTTGCAATACCCAGTTGTTTGCTAATGATATTGGTTTGTTGCATCTCATGTGAAAATTGCATAGTGAATGGCCAGCTGAAGGACTGTTTCAGCTGATGCAGTAGCACTGATAAAAAAAAAAGTAATAAAAACACAAAATAAAGCCACATATATGTTTTCATGCATTGTAATTAGGAAAAACACTTACCAACAGTCTTCGTTTGCCTTCAAAATTATCCAAGAATGCTGGCAATGACCTTCGCAGACTTTCTGTATGAATTTTCTTCTCTGGCTTTGTGAAAATGTCATCCTCTGCTTTGACAACTTTCTTGTTCTTCTTAGTTCGGTCTTTTTCTGTCTTGATCTTTTTATCTGTCTTATCTTTTTTAGCTGGTTTATCTTTCTTGGGGGGTTTCTCCACTTTTTCAGCTTTCTTTTTTTTCTTTTCGGCTTTCTCAGGTTTTTCCTCCTTTCTCTGTTCTTTTCCTTTCTTTGGTGGAATGTTTGCTTCCTCTACCACCTCTTCCACCAGTGGCGTTGTGGGTTTACCAAGGTCAAATTTGTCTTCGTATTCATTATTTAAAATTTTCTCCACCCCTTTTTTCTTAGGTGGCTTGGTTTTTATAGGTTTCTTTTGACTTGGAATTATATCATGAGAACTATGGTCCTTTCTATCTGTGCGGTTATCCCCAAACCGCCCTGTGTTTTCTTTTGTATAGTGCTCTGTTGTGGTTGCTGAAATAACGGGAGCATCTGTGTGGGACTCATGGACCATTGGTTTGTTTGTTTTGCTTGTCGTAGCAAAGTGCTTTCCTGTCTGCACATGCTGTCTATCTTTGTGTTTATCTGTTCTCACAGGAAAGTAATGTCCTGCTGTTTCAGGATCTCTCGTTGTTACTTCAGCTTGAACATGCATTCTGTGAGCCTCAGGAGTGGCATAAAATTTTGTAGTCCATGGTTTCTGAGTTGTGGGAGGGACTGTTGTAGGTGGTGTTGTGGGTGGCCTTGTTGCTGTAGTTAATATGCGTATAGTTGCCTTTGTTGGAGGAGGTAAGGTTGTGGCTTTGGGTGTAGGTGAAGGTGTTGCTGGTACTATAAGAGGCTTTCTTGTAGCTCTGACCCTAGTGGACCTTGTAGGAACTAGATTTCTCTTCGGTTCTTCCTTCTTAAATGTGATTTGGACAGTGCCACTGGCTTGAGTAGGTTTCACAACCCTTGTACTACTAGTGCTGCTGCTGCTAACCCCTCCACTACTTCCACTGCTACTACTACTCTCTCCTTCTTCAGATACCTGTCCCTCAACTCCAGCTGCTTTACATTTTTGTACAAAGCCTTTTTGCCTAAGTTTTTCTATTTTTCTTATAGGACTTTGGTCAACAACTTCATACATAGCTTCTAGACGCACAGGATAAGGATATCTTTCTTCAACTTGTAAAGTCTTTTTAAGAAGAACCATACCAAATTTTCCTTTTTCCAGTTTTAGAGAAGTCATCATTTTGGGAACGATTGATGGATCCAGCCGCTGTTCTAATATCTTTCCCTCATTAGTAATTCGTCTGATTTTGCCTCCTTCTTCTCCTTCCTCATGGAATATGACAATCTGTTGAATATGTCTTTCAGCAAGTTCACAATACACATCATTTTTAAGGAGGCTCATCATTAGGCGATAATATCCATCAGATGCATGTGGAGCAGAGATAATCCAGACTCTGTTTTTCCCAGCGAAACTAGCAAGGATATTTGGGGAATTTGAAGCCGAAGGGAATCGTGCTGTTCTAGAACGTGCAGAGGTTGCACTGTCATCCTTTAACATTCTAGCCTGCGCTTGTCTAAAAACAGGCCTTTGCTGTGGGTTAACCTTTTTATCATGAGGCTGACCCTCATCACTCAGCATAATTTGTGACAAGTTCCTCTTATTTGAGTCTTTATTTACATAATTACTTTGATTTTTAGATAAATGGAGATATTGTCTCTGATTAGGTATTGTTCTTCTACGAAAGGCTCTACTATGCTTATTGATCCCCTGAGAAGTGTCAGAAGCACAAATTATCCATACAGCCAACAAGACTGCCAGACGAAGTGTTAATGTCCAGTTCATTGTGGAAATGTCTGCAAAACAAAGCAAAAAATAAATAAAAGCCTATAGTTTGTATTCATTCTTGTAACAGAACACAGTGGAAACGTTCATCTGGCACATTGTTCTATTGATCTTTTCAAAAGGAAGAAGTTAAAAAGTCACATAAAACTCAGGAAGCAGCTTTATAAGACTTATTTTTGTTCTGTGTCATTACTGTTCTTCAGCAATATATTATTTGGGAAGATTTCCCTCCTAAAGGATATTCTGTAACATCTAACTGACTTTTGTTTTAGCCCTTTAACCCTCTGGGCACCAGTGTCAACTAAGGGGTTCTGAATGATGGGTGCAGAAACTGGCTTCCTAATGATGTGATCACTGTGACTGGCTACATGAGAGCATGCTAGTGAATGCACTAGGGTTGCCACCTGTCCAGGATTCACCCGGACAGTCCGGATTTTGAATGCTGTGTCTGGGTTTCATGGCAGCAGAAACCCAGACACAAGGGGGGTGATTTACTAACCTAAACACACGCACGCACTAGGTGCGTGTGATTTTCACACAGCAAAACATATTTATCAACCAAAAAGTCTCTAAAAGCATATTTCCACTAATGCCATATATGGAAAAATCATGCACATGATGCATATATAATGCTGCTTCACAGTTTAGACAAAAATGGTTAGCTCATGCATTTACATTCCTGCATTCATCAACGCAAGCAACACAACATAGAGCTAATTTACACAACATCACCTTGCAATTCATGCACAACACACCTGCTGGGTGTGTACACACTACAAAGGTGTTTAGATTCCACCCATAGATCATGCTGGGAGGGAACACACTACAGAGGTGTATACATGTTCGTGGTGTGTTTATAAGGTTAGTAAATCAACCCCAAGATGTCAGGCAGACAAGGGCAACCAAAATTAAGATAGGTGCTACTGGTCCCCCACTGGAATAATACTTGTTGATGTACCAGAAGTGCACTCAGCTCTGAATTTCTTGTGAGCTGACAACAGACATTATTTTCATGGACTTAATGGGGTCAGCTCTGCCCAGTCTTTTGCTAAACTACTTAGATCCTCCCACTGTCCCCTCCACAAGACTTATTTATTATTTGCAGTGGTGTAGCATGGGTTGTGAGTGCCCGGGGCAAGACAAGTATTGCACTCCCTTTCCCCATGGACTGTTAGCACTCCCTGAGTCCCTTCCAGCAGTACAATATAGAACCCCTTATCCCCCCCCCAAGCACATGTATTTAAAAACAAAAAATACTAAAGTAATTAAAGTAAAATGCATTTAATGCTAGTATACTCAAATTTACAGGGTGAACATAGTACAAGGATGCAGGAATGCAGGGCGGTGGAGAGTGTCAGGGTGCAGGGGAGGGGATTACACAATATTAGGGTACAGGCATTATTGGGCAGCACAGAGTGTCATGGTGCAGAGGAGGGGATGCACACAGTATTCAATATTCATTATTCATGGTTTATGGAGAGGCAATTAAGGGGTGAACTGGCGGTGTGTCCTATTTACAGCCGGCATTGTATATGGCCCATATACAATGCAGGGGGTATATAATGCAGTACAGACAATGGGGAAGGCAGGTAGACAGACAGCACAGAATGGCCCCCACAGCACCCCCCGTAAAAGGTTGGTGCAGAGGGCCATCGCCCCTCTGGTCCCCTGGTCGCCTCCATGATGATCCTGATTATTATTGGTATTTATATAGCGCCGACAATTTATTCAGCACTTTGCATACTGTACATTCACATCAGTCCCTCTCCTCAGCTTACAATCTAAGGTCCCAATCTCGCATGCATACAGGGCTGATTTGATACAGCGGCCAATTACCTTTTCAGCATGTCTTTGGAGTGTATGAGGAAACCGGGGTACCCGGAGGAAACCCACACTAGCACAGTGCGAGCATGCAAACTCCATGCAGATAGTATCCTGGCTTGGGTAGAGTCTAACAGGTCTATTCACAAAAGGGTGAAGAGTTTGGAGAAGTCAGGAGAAGTGAACAATCCAGGACAACATAGCTGGACTGGAAAGTGAGCTGAATTGGAGAATTTTTCCAAATCAGGTACTTTGGCCTAGGTTGTTCACTTCTCCTGCCTTCTACAAACTCTAAACCCTTTTGTGAATAACCCTGTAATTGTTCTATAGTCTAAGATAGGAACTTGGGGGGCTAATCAGTCTCCCTAAGATAACAAAAGAAGGATGAACAGGACAGCTCTGAATTTCTGGCAGGATCAACAGGTATTTTTTGCACTCATCAAACAGATATAACAAAATGCTTTCAATGGTAGATTTACAGGGGTAGCACAGCAATTTGTTTTTGCTGGTACTTTTCTTTGCAAATGTAGCTATGTCCCCGGCCCTGAGTCCTATGCCTAGTATAATAAAAGCAGACATACCATAATGCAAAATTCTCAGGGTTATCTACTAAAGTGGGAAGAGTTTGGAGAAGACAAAAGAAGTGAACAATCTAGGACAACATAGCTGAACTGGAAAGTGAGCTGAATTGGAGAATTTTTCCAAATCAGCTATGTTGTCCTAGATTGTTCACTTCTCCTGCCTTCTCCAAACTCTTCACCCTATGGTATTTTATATAGAAACCATATACAGTGTAATCAGTACACAGATCTTAGCCCCTTTGAAGCACATTTACGCATGCAGAACGCAGTGGTCAGAAGTATGCAGCAGTGTCCCTTACACTGCTGCTCAGCAAGTGCAAAAATCAGTTCTATAATTGGTGTCAGTGGGTATAAAAGTCAACCATAATTACATACATTTGAAAAGAATTAACAGTGACGCCTTGAAGGGATTAACAAGAAAAATGTGGTGTGATATGTGGGCCACCTGCTGCCCGCCTTGAAAGGATTGAGAAGAAAAATGCGGTGCACCATGTGGGCGGCCTGCTGCCCGCCTTGAAAGGGTTGAGAAGAAAAATGCCGTGCACCATGTGGGCTGCCAGCTGCCTGCCTTGAAATGGTTTGGTTCAGAAGAAAATATATATGGGGTCATATATGCGCGTCAAAAAGGCTCCTGTATTATTTTACGGGACACGTTTTTCCCACCGCGTTTGCATGCGCAGAAACGCGGCGGAAAACCGGGCGTGTTTGGGGGCGTAATTTAAAAGGAATGCCACCACAAGCACGTTTCCCATTTGTTCTTTTCGGAATGTGCAGATGTAAAGTAGGCCTTAAAGTTGACCGTTACCTCGTTTCACTAAAATCTCATCAGCATGATGCTCTGCATGCTGATATAAATTCATCTTAAATTCATTAGTTAAACAAACATATTTTTCTTTTACTTATAATTACTGTTTTTCCATTTCCTGGTTGAGTAAGGCTCTGGTGATGTAGCTCTGGCCTCACAGATGCATCCTGGGGGTGGGGCTGGGGCTATATCACCGGTTCCTTCCTGGGAAATCTCATCTGTAAACCACAACATTTCGCACGATCTCTGGGGGAATGTCATTTTTACCCCTTCAGATGATGTGCACTGTCACATACTACAGTCACATTTGCCAGAATTCCAGGACATAAAGGGAGGTGGATTCATCTGCACTTAAAAAAAATGGGCACCATGAGAATGGGAAGGAAAAGAAATATAATGTATTCAAAGAATAGAAAGCCTGCAATTATCTAGAAGTATCTGTGGATTGCCATTACTAGACTATTATAAAGCTGCCTTTGTTGTAAATTTTAAGATAAAGGTGAAGTTCCTCTTTAAGAAATGTAAGAATGTGCCTTGCGATCCAGTGCGGGCGATTGCATTGCGGCCTAAGGGTGTGGCTACGGTGCCATTCACTTCAATGGCCCACCACGCCCCCTCCTGCCCCACTAAAAAGTGAGCCGGCCGCTATGCGAAGCAGTGCGTTCTGGCAAGAATCGGGCCAGAACGCACTGCAACTGGTGTGAAAGGGCCCTTAGGCCCTATAAAAATCCTGTATCATAACAATAATTTTTAGATTGCAAGCTCTGAGGGGCAGGGCCCTCCTTACCAACTTGTCTTGTTTTGCATTGTAACTATAATGTTTTCCTGATATTGTAAAGAGCTGTTGGCGCTATAGAAATCCTGAATAATAATAGTAATAAATATCATAACAATAATCTTTTCCAAGACTATACTAACATAATGTCAACAATATATACCATATCTATTGCTTTTATCTGCATGCCGCTGGACAATTTACATGCCCATAAAATGTTGCATTTCATTTGGACAGTGCTTTGCTTCCACAACCTGGATGAATATATTTCTGAGTCATATCAGCCTCAACCCTCCCCCCAACCTCTTTAGCTTCTGTCTCTCCACAGCCGAACATTTGGCTTCCTGAAATCTTTTTCATAGTCTCTCTGCTTTGGCTGTTTGAACAAATGCTGCAATGTTTTTCCCTTTTTCCTGAATGGTCAGCTGTATCAATATGGCCTAATTAAAAAAAAAAAAAAGGATGTTTGCTACATGTGCAGTTCTCTCGTGGGGTGGAGGAATGCCAGTGAATTGTGGGTACGAGCCGCAGTGCATAAAGGGTTAA